TAAAATATTATAATGTTATGTATATGCACTAAGCTAAACGTCGCATGACAGTTATGTGTAAGTTGTATCAGGGTGCTGTAATTTTGAACCATTTTCTAAGTTGTTGTACAAACACTGTGTACACTGTGTTCACCGATCTAGTTTCCAACCAACTCGCCAAATATAATTAATTCAGGAAAAATATAACCACTTACTTCCAACGAGTGCTGAACGGTTTATACGACGTTCTTGTTGGCAGTGCAAGCGGCTTGCCGTCAGAAAATACTTGACAAGTCACATACAAATCCGAACATTGCTCTCGGTACAGACCAGAAAAACGTAGCTGTGGATCCTCCACCAAAGCTTTATAACTTTTCTGTTCTCTGTTTCCTTCAAGTGTACCTCTGAAATTGAATTGATAATAATATTTGTTTGTAAATAAAACTTGAAATAATGATGACTGTCAGAGCCTGGTCACAGTCAAATTACAAATCCAGGGGCGTCCACAGGAACATGATCAATAGGCTATCTCGTCCACTGTACGTGAAGTTGGACCGAATCACCAACAACGAGACACTCTGATCTAGCTTGTCCAAACCTAACTGAAAAATATCGCACTTACATTTTAATTTGTACATTTGCGTCCAATTCACAACTGTAAACATAGTTGAATCTGGCTGCTTCCGGGGCCGCCATATTGCAATTGAGCACCGATGCATGCTGGGAATTTTAAGTTCCCTGTGTGCGTAATTCAGGTAGCTATCTTGGTTATCGACGGCGCCCATCCCAATCGCTACCCCGGACCCGGGTGATCATACCGAATAACGGCGCCTTAATTTACCAAATATATATATTTGTAGACCCTTCTATTTAAATTCGATTGGAACATGATATTATAGACCATCGCGTCATAGTCAAACAAAAGCAATGAGTCAGCCCGTCGGAGGCGCTCTTTTCGTCCGTTGTGGGTTGTCGGACTAGTACTAGGGAGAGTTCAATTTAACAACTAGGAAATGATTGGTGAAATATTGGGTGGGTCATTTGCACTTGTTTCATTGGAAAGTTGTGTTATTGTAAGATGTAAGTATGATTCGAGTAAATAATTATTCGAAAATAATATTTTGAATTATTATCACAGTATGTATCGATAATGTACAATTTGGCGATTATTGTTTTAAAATGCGATATAGACAAAAACATATTTTTTAATCATGTTGTTCGAAACTCTATACTGATGATGATTTATTATTATAACCTAAAAAATAATGATTTTTCAAGACACAAAACAGTATTCGTTAGATGAAAAAATCAAGGTGTGTGCAGCACAAAAAACGTTTTCAGTTCATGATAAAAAAATAGCCCAATGTATCTATCAATATACAGTATCTAACAACAACACTGCAACTGATATGCTCTCGTCCATATCATGATTGCATCTTTAAAGGACGGCAGTCGTCGCGCTGCGCATGTGCGACATTTGTGTTGTTAAACATTGATTTTCCCACAATCTAATGCGCTCTTCAAATGGAAATCACAAGTATGAGGTTTGCCCTGGGCACGACTTGCACTAATTACCGCTGGCGACTCCTTCGATAAATTCCAATCACTTAAAAATATACTTAATTGAACCTTGGTAACGCCTCAGTTTGTACTCGTTGATCTGCGCAACAGTCCAAGTCGCCATCTTTGTTTATATGAGACCCTTATATCTCGCGCATGCGTGGCGCGACGACTACCGCCCTTTAAGCAAGAAACCTACAGATAAGTGTTAAGAAAGTTGGGCACAGATCACATGACAATTGTCATTGGGTTATTATGTACAATAATAGAGCTATAATATGAAACAGCAAGTTCTTACCAGTTTTTGATATTATAATTTGAAAATTGCTGTTTTCGGGGAAATGGTCAAGCCATCCAAATACTGACAAAATGGAAGCCCTTCACTGGAATACGACCATTCGATTAAATCATTTTAGTTGAAAAAAAAGATTAGGCCAGAGAGACTGTCGACAGTCTAGTTAGAGTTGTTTAATAAAAACTAAATTATACAATCTTCGCCAATCCCGTCATGACGCCCTCAACTGTATCTGTTGAAGAGGCGAGTAGCGGGAACTGCTCACAATTATTTGGGTGAATATTTTCAGAAATCATCATTGATAATGAATTTCTTCTCTGAAAGTGCCCGGATGTATGACTTTCAATGAGCTGTATAGTATTTATTTTGCTCACTGTAGAAACCATAGTAAAAACAGTTTCTGTAACTCTCGATAATTAGATCAGTACTTTTCATTATACTGTTTGTTTATTCCGATTTTTTATATTGTAGTGTAGCGACTGTCCACCACCATCCACCGAGCGACTGTTATATACTCCCGTACTGACGTCTCCCGGTGGTTATATAGTCGACCGCTCCCTAATATGTATACAGCACCTCAATAGATTCACAAATACAATAGAGAGGCGAAACTAAAGACTACGATCAGAGCTGATCGCACAACCGTAACGCCCTTGAAACCTTAGGGTTGGACTCTTCTATCGCCACTGCGGAGGTAGTCCAGAACGTAACAGCGCTGATTTATCGCGGATACTATTCATAACGTACAAGATTTGGCAGTTTTTTCTTCAGACACTTCGTCAACGGGGCTAGTCACAGTGAAATCGAAACCGATCGACTGTTTGACTCTTTGTGTGTATGTATATACCATTGGTTATAGGAAAAAGGGAATCGTCGCGGTGACAAACGCCGGTCGGAGAACATGGCCGAACCAAAACCCGAAGGGAGTGGTATCACCGAGTTGGGATCTGAGACGAATACTACGGACCTTGACTTAGCACCGGAGCGAACTGCACCGAGGCCGGCTGCGCCAGTTGAAAAGCGTATCAACGCCAGGGCGGCGAATAACGGCAGCGTGGTAGGTATACAGTTTGTGGCATTAATTGAGACATTCCATACTACTTCGTTGTATAAAATTAACAAATTATTATAACGTATGTATTCTATTATCACACGAAATACGCGAAGAGGTAAACACACGGGGCACACACATCAAAATAAATAACTATCATTAACACGATGCTGATATTTGACCTTAAGTCGCACTGGTCAGTTCTTTTGTAGCTCGACGAAGTTTAAAACATTGCCTCTTAGTAACATAATATGGAGGATGACGTACATACACGTAATCAAATCGATTAGAATAAAAAATCCAGGATATTTTCGATTTAAAGACAAGTTTAGTAATTAGATAAACATGGGCAGCCCAGAAGTACCTGAATTACGTACACCGTGGCTGCCATTTTGGAATGACTGATGTATACCTGTACATGAAAGTGAAAACTAGCCCGAGGGGACTTTTACTCTGCTATACAAAAATACAGTAGTCCGATTTAAAACGCTTTACTGGGGCTGCGAACAAGACGATGTTTTATAGCAGTTTGATATAATACGGTGCACATAACAAGTTTTAAAGATGTGTACGGAAATGTGCGTGATACGGTTCAATTATTGCTAGCTCTGATCGGGCACAGACAGACTCGCTGGGCTCGATACACACCGTAATTTGCAACCTAATTATATTATCCTCAGGTGGAACGCACACCTTTTCACTCAAAGAAACAAGAATGGATAGCCGTTAAAGAGTCGCCTTGACCGGGATTATTTTGGGGTGAAAAGATTCACGTCATTGCGACTGAATGCTTTTTATGTCGTTCGTAGTTGTATAGGGCTATTGTTACCATCAATGCCGACACCAGTAATCGTCCCGTTGGCGTGTTTGATACCAACACGGTCTCGTTGGCGAGGTTGTCTTCAACGTAACTTGGAAATACACGTATATATTGTAGACCAGCCTGACAACAAAACATGCTTCACTTTAAAAAGAATCTAGTTATAATCAATAATGGCAACAACATGTGATTGCGTTACGGGAAACAAATAACTTAGGTTCGACATAAATGAAGCTGTTCAAAAAAAAAAAAAAAAAAAACAATCGATAATTTCAATCAGCACATTCTAGACATGCTTACGGTATGTAAAAAGAAAAAACAAACAGCGAATCGATGTCAGCGTTCATTCGACCGGCATAGAAGCGGGTGCAGCCCCGATACATTGTATTGTGTACAGAGAGCTCCCTACGGGGCGATGACCGTGTGAAGCACCTCTCTATTTGGTTTTCCGACGAACAACGCCCCAATATTCTGACAATGACACAGGCATGCGTAACGAAATTGGCGTTCCATCGTCAATCTTATTGATTGCCGACGACCGATTTGTGCATGTCAATAGAAACATTCTACGTGTCGGAATCCGGTGGTACTTTTTGCTTAAAAGATGTTTTTGCACAAACGTTCTGAAAATATAATTCTCGATCAGCTGTGAACCATTATAGAGACAATGTGCGCAGTGGCCTCATCACGGCAACCTGTTGATTGCTCTGTTTAAAAACGTTACCCAAACGTCTGCTAAATCGGAGTCGTCTATTAAAAAAATAAACAATAGATTATTATCACTACAACACAACAATAATTAATATGGGTACTGTGTAATTTATTGCAGGTACTATGTCAGGCACATAACATTAATTGATTGGTTAGGTTGTACACTTCACAGAGATAGACATCAGACCACGTTTGAGTGATTCTGTGTAAAGACGTACACTACACTCGTCCAACAGCCGTAACGCTAGCACAATGAACACATAGTTTCTACTTTTACATGCATCTGAAACTAGTTTAGAGTTTGATGTATAATACACGCGTTTATAACCGTTTTCACATTGTGAATAGGTCTTTCATTTCCCACTACAATAGTTATAATAGGCATTGCACTTATGTTATGGGAAAATCATTATCATGCCGGAATGTGAGTGGCGATTGGACAATCGTAACAGTCATATTAAATATACATCATTTAATAATTTACCCAGCAGACAATGGGGTTATTTACCGGGGAATTATTAGAGGAAATCACTATAACTATTGTAGATTTCTTTAAAACCAATCACATGTCGTCCATTTTCAAACACCTTTAATCTGCATAACTCAAGGGCAATGATCATTCAAAATAATACAATTTACAAAACTTGCGCATCTAAACAAAACAGGAATAATAAATCCATGGTTTGTTCTTCCAACTGATGAAAAACACCCAGGAATGTGCTTTCATTGCATATAAGTGTGTTTGTTGCATTCAAGGTCCCGGATTGTGAAATTACAAAGGGGAAGTTTTGCCCTTTGTTTGTTTGGTACATCGAACTACTAGTATATAACAATCATAGAAAGAATATTGTTTATCAATGAAACTAACTGAAAACCTATTCCTATGCACTCTCACATCCTTTGCTTTATTTTAATATCCTTATTTGTCCCACGTGTTCACACCCAGATCAGCGACCACAACTTCAAGGATCCCACTACTTAGTCTCTATACAAGATATGTATTATGAAAATACTAGTTGCACACCTAGTAAGGGGTTGGGTAGATTACAAAGACATTGTTCGAATTATAGTGGGCTGCCATGTGCCACTTTGGTCGACGTCACTGTGACGTTTGCTTATCTCTATTGTTTGTAATCTGTATACACTCATTCGTCGGTGTTGATACGTTTTACGGATAACAATCCAATGTTGGCGTTAACTAAAATATTGTAATGTTGTTGCTCGCAACATCTCTATCGCAGATAAATGGGCTGTGCCTATGAAAATTACCGTGGACAGCAATCAGCCTCATTGTCTAACTTGTCTGCATACTGGATGAGACTTGTTTTCCATAGTCATCTATTTCTCCAAATCTAATTACCTGATATTTAATCAGTATTTTTTAAACTCGATAATTCCATATTCCATAATAGGCACAAGTGACATATTTTTGGAGATTCAATATTTTATATTAAATAAAAACTACGTAAAACACATAACAAACAGATGAACAATGCACAGGTAAACATATTTTTTTAACAGATTGGGACACCGATAAATGGGATAACACTAAGAAAACGGCATTATTTAGACGACCATAGCAACCCCCTGAATACAGTTGAGAGATTGTATCAGTTGACAAAGCCGTCAACAACCGGTCGTGAAGTCTAGCTCTGTGCATTTCTAAAATATTCGAATGTGCAGTGACGAGCTTAGTTGAGTGTATCTATGTCCCATAATACTAATATTAAAAGGCGATGGTCGTCACGCCGAGACTTGTTCGACTCACAGCGACGTACACAACGCATGTAAAATACATTGTTTATTTATATAACACGCGCTGCTCGACGACCACCGCGCTTTAACTTTATTGCTTTCTCTCAGTTAAACTATCAATACAGTGTTGTTAGGGTGAGGGTGAACCAGTAAAACTGGACATTAAAACGGTTTTAGTCACGGTCTGAGTTTGAAAGACCAATTGCATTCAATCCCACATATCACGGGATGTAATGTTAGCAATTCTGTTTGTCAAGAACCAATTACGTGGAATATTTGTTTCCATCGTTTCACTTCAAGGCAAAAATGTTAAACTCACAAAGCAATCACCGACTCGCAGTCCGGCTATATTGCTCTTTACTGAGCAAAGTGTAATTTGTTTTGTTTAGCTTCGCAATGTAAGTAGATTTATTAAAAATGATACATAGCTAGAATTTATGAGCCTTTCCAATGTGATTATAATAATTTGCCGCAAGATTTGAAAACTGCGACTCTGGGAGATCCTTAAAAAAGTAAAAAGGCGGTGGTCCAATGCGACGTATACAACGCATGTAATATACACCTTTGTTTACGTAAAATCCGATTGCTGTCGTGTTTTCGTAATTCAATGTTTTTGTTTTTGTTTTTTTTTTTCTTCTGGAAGTTTTGTTGACGTTAGTCACTTGAAAACTCTGGAAAAAATACGTACTCTTATTTGGTTTTCACATGTACCCGAATCTCATAATCTTTTAATTTTTGGGATACGTGTGGAGTATCGCAAATGAGAACTATGAATCATGGGTAACTGTTGAATACCGTTACAGTTTCCATCACAAGCTTATTTTGTTCTCTGGTTGTGGTCAAATTATTCGACTAGATCATGGTCATTCATCACAACTCGAAGTTATGACCCTATCGTAACAGGAGTCACAAATCACCAGCTACATGGCATCTTAAAACATGGAAATCTTTGATATATTGATTGGCATTCCTCACTGCAGCTGACCCGGTACACCAGCATGCTCGTCAAAATGTGGGAAAAAACTTCAATTTCATGGTCTCGAGACTTATTTAGTTTGTCAGTTTTATCAAATTAAGAGGGTATTTTTTTTTCGATTTAATTTAACGCCACTTTTAAAACTTTATGCTTTCAGTCACAGCACGGTTACTAAAACCGTGGTCACAGTGAAGATTTTGTTTAAAAAACTGACATGTTATATTTGCAAATGGAACATTATGTACATTGAAGTCTTCAGTTGCTTAGCATGAAACATTGAGAGGTTTTTCCTGAAAGGTGCAGTATTCAATGGAGACGAAGGGTCTCAATTAGTGCATTAGTCTGACAGTCACGGTACCGGGGGTACCTGGTGAGTGATCTCCTGTGAATATAATAATATTTACAGCATTTAGGCATGGTTATGCCGTTTTCATTCATTGTTCATTTCGACTCTTGCATTTGTCTGTATCGTGAAACCATATACCTTATAATATCATTCATCTTTGGTGACTGGTTTGGGAAATAGTACAATGCTGTTCGTGCGAATACGCACCAGAATTAATTTAAAGCGGGAGGGTCGTCACCTGCGCACGCGCGGGAATTAAGTCCCAAGCGACGATAACAACACACGCTAAAAACGCAATAGGCTCATGGGTAGACGCGTCTGTTTGTAAACAATGACACGCTATGGCCATCTGACACATGCGCAGGTGACGACTCCCTCGCTTTAAAGTCGTCTTCAGCCGGGGGGGGGGGTCCATAGAAATGCACGCAAATCTACGAATTCAAATTTAACAGTTTTATTTCACGGGTGTCCGTAAAACAGAACCCGATTCGGTTGTGAGCACTATGATATAAGCACTACCAGGCAAGAACTCACGAGCAACGTATCACAACGTGTCACTGACTTACTGGGACTTATATGTGACGTCGTAACGTTGCAATACAATTCCTGTTTAATTGCTAGTGAGGCAATGTATATACCAATTCACACGGTATCTATAGTGACTAAAACGGGGGCATGTTCCACATTTCAGGAGTGACATTCAAACCACCTGTACTTTCGGTTCCATCATTAAATACTCTTCTGTCTGTACACGCCCCGTTCTTTTATTAAGAAAGTGTTTTATACTTTGGCAATACACATTTATATGCTGACGGGCAGTAATTTACGCTGACCCCACTCACCCGCCCTTATAGTGGACTCACCAGTGTGTGGCAGCGGCAGAGTAAAGTGTGCGTGATTGACGCTCCCTCGGAGCACAGCACAGGGTAACACTGCATGGCACAGTTGAGCCAGGATTACTGAATATGGCTGCGGTGGGGTTATTAGGTCATTAGTAATAACACACGGCAAGTTAAGTTAGTAATATCACGTTTTTCATTTAACAAATTGCTCAACATTCTTGACTTGAGAGATCGTACGATAATTACTGTAGTTTCACACCGTAAACCGGAGATTGACAACGCGTTGAAAAATGCAAGTTAAATTTAGCCCAGACTACCCGCGTAACATATGTGTTTACGACCCAGTAGTCATCAACATGCCTTACAGCGCACAAGTGTGAAAGGTTCAACATTCTCCATTTCAATTTTACCCATACTCATTGTTTTGTGTCCTTTTTTCTAATTTTGTACACATGGTATATTTTACTGCATATATATATATATTTATAGTACACTATCGACTTTATTTATTTGCGCGTGAAGCTCAGAAACAATTATTTGCAAAAGTCGACAATAAAAACTGTTTATTCGATACTGTTCATGTTAATGATCTACACAACCGTGTCCATTTCAGGCATCTGTTACCAGCCTGAGATAAAACACTCACGTTGTTATTGTGGTCGTCACTTATTTCCTCCAATGACCCCCGTTTAAATCGGCAATCGCCATAGTGTTTTTATTGAATTCAAGTATCTGCTTACTGAGATTGCGAATGACAAGGCGTAAATAACTAGATGGGATAATTGGCAATATTCTAGATGGATGCAATAGTGCACCGTTATTGATAATTGCAGGTCATGGGGTTACATTATAATGCATATATCAAAATCGTAAACTTTCAAGCAATACATAATTTGATTGAATGTCACTCCTTTCCATGGTACGGCCCAGGACGAGGCACTCAGGCTGACCATGTGACCTGCCAACATTGTTTGTACTGCTTTATAAGTAGGAGATTATTTTATTTAATTTTATTTAATTTTATTTTATTTTATTTTATTTTATTTTATTTTATTTTATTTTATTTTATTTTATTTTATTTTATTTTATTTTATTTTATTTTATTTTATTTTATTTTATTTTATTTTATTATAAAACGGTAGTATGTTGTTTTTGATTTCGTATTTTTTTTTTACTGACAAATGTATCGAGTATTAGTTCACAGGTGTACTATATAATGTTGTCTATTCCGGAGAATATTAGATTGATTGTTACTGTATAGTTACACTTTGTTTGGTATTTGAGAAATCTTTGTTTTCTATGATCTATGTTATTATTTCGATGGTCATTTTATGGTGTTTCTTGTTATATTTTGCCACCAAATCGACCATCACGGTGTATTTGCAATGCGAACCCATAACCATAGGTTCTCAAAACACAACCTTAATTTCAAACTCAAAGTTATACCCATTTCCTTTACATAATGGCTCTTGTTTTGAAGAGCTTATAGAAAATTGAAATTCTTATTTTAACCGAAATCTTCACTACAACTGAAATTTATTTCGGGTTTATTTTCACAGCGAATGAAGTTGAAAAAAGTTGACGAATACGAAGTCAAAGACGCGCAGATGAATGCTGTTTTCGGCGTAGCACCACGAGATGTTAAAAACACACTGAAAGTGAATCCATTATACGACCAGGGCACTGGAGTGATCGAAGTCTCTGAAAGCGATGCACAGAACGCACGCAGCAAACGTCCCAATGACGACGGGTCACATCGAAACTCGCGAGCAGACTCCGAAGAGGGAGAGGCGAAAATAGGATATAGCACGAATTTTATGTTGGGAAGGACAAAGCAGGAAAATGGCGAAGTTAAGAAACAGGAGAACGAGAAACGATTGGTTAGTATTGTTGTTTTGTTCTATTCCTTATTATATCCCACCACATTGCTCGTGAATCACTGAATAGGCGCACGCGCAGTGTAGATATAGACACCGTCCCTCAACACCTGTTGAGGGACGGTGATATAGACTATGAAACGTCTTTGCACCACATTCGTTCGATGAAAAAATGAAAATGCTTGCGCGTGTGCGCTGCGAATTACCTGTACGTACAGGTAAATACCGGCGCATGCGCTTTCGTATTGAAGGAAACCTGCCATATTTGCTCCCAAAAACAATGTGTTTATTGGGGTAAACTATGATAATATACCGGTTCCCCACGCACTTATTTAAAACACACACAAAATACTAAAACGTATCTATATTGCCACTTTAATGTACATTTAAAGGTGTATTTTATTCAGCACTCTGGGCCACCGATCCATATGGCATCGGTAGCTAAAAAATAAAATTGTTGGTAAAGAATAAAATTACAATGCACTCTAAACGCAAAGACTCATGGTTAGGCGTTTGTTTGTAAACAACGACACAATATGGCCGTCTGCCGCATGCGCAGGTGGCGACTTCCCCGCTTTAATCCCCCCCCCATAATTTCATTTGGATGATCCAATTCTTGTTGCACTTACTCCTGCATTTGTCAATACATGTACATTGCTTTCACAATATTGGGCTCAGAAAGTATCTCCGCTCACCACTTTTATTTTTATTTCATTTTTGAAAAGGAAAATATGTTTCACGGGATTCTGTGTAAAGTGAACAATTGATAAACAGTTGCTGGTAATCCATGTGACTAAAATATGTCTATTTCACTCATTGTCGCCATTGAGGGATGCGTCATTAAACTATTCTGGTCTTTCTTTCTTTTTATCAGAAAACACAGGGCAGGGTAATGCCATCAAGAATACACCGAGTAAGTATATTCAGATATCAATATGACATAAACACTGAAAATGAAAAGGGCCATGTTTTCATTTAGAAACGCTGAATGTGAACCGTGTATGAACCAAATGCGAACAAGCCACGCCGTTTTCAGTAACCCCGAACGAGGCAACAAACTGATGACGTACTTGAACGACATTTCGTACATTATCTATTATCTTCATTGAGATTGATAAAAAAATTCAGTGAATTGGTGAATTCGCTGTAAAACAAACAAGTATAATTTATATATATGTATATGTAATTGTTTATTTTAAATGTAAATTCAAATAGATTTTGAATAATGTAAAATTGATTTGAAAAAAATAATTATCAAATCGTGACATTTTGAAGCATTTAGTATTTTAATCCACGATTCACATGATCTCTGATTTGTTGACTGATTTATTCAAAGACTGTATACCTGCCCCATATGTGATAGAAAAGCCAGCAATGGCAACGACAACTACAAGAGATACATAAATCAGAAATAACAACATGACATCCATATTGAAAATTCTCTTTATCTGTTCTGATTCCCAGAATGCATCACTATCATCGATGACTCCCAACGGCGCATCTAATGGGTATTATAAAGACGAGGAATCATATCGGTCATCGCCACCAGACCAGCGCACGCGCAGATGGAGGCTTATTATGCTGTTGATCCTTATCATTCTGATTTTGGCTTTGGTCTTAGTCTTAGTCCTGTACTTTCTAACACAGGGGATAGCTCGGTGACGTCATTTCCGGAACATGTAAATTATTCAAATTAATTATGCCTTTTGGTAGAAGTCTGAAAACAATTTACGTGATATTTCTACCTGAATATAAAATCATGTGATATTTCTATCCTGAACACAAAACCAAGCATTTTGGGGTATGATTGTAAACTCAGTAATGACAACCAATTTTAAGAATTATGAGTAGCCCTACCTTATATTTGACGGAATTATATTTATATATAGAAAAACTGTTTTTTCTTACTTACATCGATTCGGATATATACGTTCAGATTACATTCAAATTTGAACAACGTGAGTGCATGCATTATGGAAGTATGGCATGTTTAAACTTGAATTGTTTTGTGTACAGCGACATTGTTTACAATTGAGAGATTTGTATTCTGTGTTTTTAATTTTTAAGTTAATAACATTCACACTACACCCCACAAAAAACACCGAACACAATTTTGTTATGTTGATAGGTATTACTCATATTCAAACCATAATTGTCATGGTAACGCATGCGCTTCATATATGCATATATTATAGCGTTATCAAGTTAATTTGCATATATAGTCATTATAATTTGCATAAATAGTCATATAACAGTTATTAATTACAGCACTTTATTATTTCCAATCTCAATTCATTTGACAATAAAACTGCAGCCAACAAAAGTGATTGAATACTGCATACAGATAATCCATTTTCAGCACAAAGAAAAAAAACTTATTCAAATATATTGATTTGAAAGTCAGATTAATTCCGTTGTCATGGCTACAGGACAGATGGCGCAGATTATCATTAGTAGTCCATATTTTATTTTAGGTATAAAATACCGACAGAGTCGGTTAGCCATATGTGTTTGTGAATATTTTTAGTAATATATTTACATTGCCGTTTCCCAGACACGGTTGTTTTGAAATGCCGCAAGTTTCTCATGATCGCTTCCATGGACTCGGAACTGAACTGCACACATATGTTTATATATAGTTATGTTATGTTATACTAATGTTATTATTTCAACTCGACCGCTTGGTCAAGTGTGTATTTTACTTGTATTCCTGGATAGAACGATTTTGTTTGTTTTTATGTGTTATATTAGGCCGGTGAGGACTAGCGCTCTTGCAGTAAGTATGACATTTGATTCCCACAATAATCTGGCAGCTTATTATCTATAGAGGGCGGTAGGCAATATGACTTCTGTCATCAAAATACCAATGTCCCCCCCCCCAAAAAATGTATGAAGCCTGAATTTTACATATTTTAAAAATAAAATCTGTTATTGGAAATGACACATGTAATCCATTGTTGAAAGGGAAGTATGTTCATTGCAACTACGATATAAGATGGCAAATGTCAAAACTGTGGGTATGACCCAGTGACTTTGCTCATGCATATATTTCACATGATATGGCAGCTTCCGATCACATATGACGTCACACGTTATTTATTATTCATAAAGACGACAAACCAAATAAAGTACAAAAAATACGTCAGACGTATTTAAAGGTTTTGTGGCGTTAAAACGATTGTAGCAGTTGCTTTTGTTTTCAGGAAGTAGACAAGTCTCTCTCTGCATAACCATTGCGAAATGATCATGACGCAGATCAATGCGAAACTACTTGCAAGATTGTGTCTGATTGGCTACATAGTTCTAACACCCAACACGTCAGACCAATCAGAAAGCAGCTTGTTTGTTGACAAGTTGAGCTATCAAATTCTGCTTTATATGCAAATATTTGCCTCTTACATTTGTTTTCTGTATTTGACAGTTCATGGTAATTTTTGAAAACATGAATTGGTTTTCAATGAACATCCCTGTACCATATTTAAAAAAAGCACACAAGCAGCTATACTGGTGCGATTCGCGTCGTTGCAATGGTCGTTTCCCAGAACGATGGCACAGAGTAACGTGTTTCATGGAAGTATCCAGACTTATTTTTCCACTGTCCAAAGTTTTTCTTTCGTAGTACAACATTATGAATGCGTGGCTACACAGTGTTTTAGCTCACAGATATTATGTTTGCAAATAAATGTATGGTAAAGATACAATCAATTTGAACTTGTTTGTATTGCAGCTTCGCAACACGTATGAGAGGATGTCAATAACTGAACAAAAACACATTTTGAATCTTGGCGAGAAACGATCTCCCCTAATAAGTTGCAACAGCAGATACTTCATGGACAGAAAAGGAACCACATCAACCTCATTCAAATGGAAATATATATATAACCCTCTTTATCGTTAGTTTACGTGTATGTACTATTCGTTTCCAGAAACGTATCGGTACTTAAAGTGCGGTACTAAGTAGTCGTCGCGCCACGCATGCGTGAGATATATGGGTCTCATATAAACAAAGATGGCGACAGCAGTTCAACGAGTACAAACTGAGACGTTACCAAGCTATAATTGGGTATTTTTAGATGATTGGAAGGTTTCGAAAGAGTCACCGGTGGTAATTAATGCAAGTTCCGTCCAGGTCAAACCTCATACATGTACTTGTGATCTGCATTAGAAGAGCGCATTGGATTGTGGGAAAATCAATGTTTATCAACACAAACGTCACACATGCGCAGCACGACGATCACCGCCCTTTAACAAACTGACACCAAATTCGTTCGGATGTGAGCAAGATGAAATGGTCTTAACCCGATCATCTCGTACAAACCGAATCCAATTTCACAATACGCCGTTCACGTAAATCGCGCCCTCTGCCGAGTACCGACGAGTCATTTCTGTTGCATAATGGGGGGTGGGGGTGCAAGGAATGCTGTTTAGATCATCAGTCGTCTGTCGAAACTATTGTTTACCTTACAAGATTTGCTACATTCTAAATGAGGAAAGACTACAAAGCCTAAATAAGTTAACTATTTAAATAAAATTGCCTGTGACCAATTCCGTTATGTTTACGTCACAAGATCACTTCGTCAGAGGGCGTGACGTTTCGGTAAGGTGTAGTAAGCAGTTACATTGACACGTTCTTGGGAAACCAGTTGGCCATCGTCCGAATCGAACGGTCCCGTGTCTTCGACCTATAGGCCTCTACACGATGTTTAGAGGCTCGGCCGAATAAACTTAGACCTTGGCTAGCGAAAATGACAGTTGGCATGCTATTCAATTCTAACCTGTAAATTGAAATGCTGCTTTGTGTAGGCAACACGGATTCAGTTGTAATCTGATCTGTCATATACTTTATATATGGTTTATTGAAACACTTAAAATTCCTCAGAAGGAATTAAAATGGTTACACTAACTGCTAAAACACATATATAAAACATACAAATTTTACAAGAATTACTGTCTAAAGCACAACAATGGTTTAAAAAATAAATCAACAGACTACAATTACAAAAAATTATTAATAAATGTTGGTAATAATATTGGGAAAAAAATAGATGAAATAATAATAATAAAAAAAGCAATAAACAGTAAATCAATGAAAGATGGAAATGAGAAGAAAAAAACGTATTAAAGGAGAAAAGTATTTATGTTAATTTGCCAGAAGATGTTGCTGTCTAAGGTTCGTGTTATTTTTGATAAATTGGGCAACTGGTATTTGTACATTCAGATTTGTATCACCCATTAATTTAAAAAAAATGTTGTAGTCACTCATATTCGTGAAATTTATAATGTGCTTAGTAGTCTCTTCAAATAATGCTTTCCGCGATTGTTCGTAAAAGGGGCATTCAATCATGAAATGGTACTCATCTTCTACTTTGTTATTTGAACACAGTCGCAG